GGAGCCCGATGCGGGACTCGATCCAGGGACTCCAGGATCATGACCTGAGCCGAAGGCAGTCGCTTAACCAACTGAGCCACCCAGGCGCCCAAGATTCTCATTTTTATTAATTTATCCAGGTGAGTACCAGGAAAAAAAAAATGAGTGTATGGATGTGTATCCCATCAGACTGGCACTGCCAAATTTAGCAGCTTGCTCAGCTCTTCGACCAGTCCTTATCAGTGTCATCTGATTTACCAAGATTCTCTTCCCACTCCTTCCTTTGTTAGCCCCGGGGAAAGCTGTCTTTCTAGAGAGTTGAGGGGAGGCTAAGTACAAAGGTTGTAATGTCCTTTGGCCATTCGCCAGCATCATAAACTCCATATGCCCAAGGCAGAACTAATCTTCCTGAGCCCACTGCTGTTGCGAACCGTGCCTGCCACACACCTCGTCTAGCTGACCGGCCCCTGCACCTCTAGCCGCCCTGTTGCTCACGCCGAACACCTCTCTCTCGTGTCCACAGCCAGTGCCTCAGCCAATCCTGTGGTGGGTTCGCCTTCAAAATACATCCACTCATCCCCACCTCCACCGCTACCACCCAGGTCCCAGCCACTGGCCTCTTTCCCCTGCCTTAGTGCCGTAACTGGTCTCCCCCTTCAGTCTGTTCTTAAACTACAGCTAGAGCTCATGTGTAGGTTAGATGACGTCACCCCTCATCCAGACGAATAGCTTCACCTCTCACTCCAGGTAAAAGCCAAGGCCATGTACGGTCTCCTCCTCAGTCACCTCTTTGCCCTCACCTCCCACTACCTGTCCCCTCATTCCTCTGTTCTGGTCACACCGGCCTTTTCTGGTCTTTGAGCAGGGTCCTGTGTGAGTTCTGTCCTTGTTTTTCCTCTCCCCAGATAACTGCAGGGTTGCTTCCTTACCTCTTTTAGGTCTTTACACAACTGTCACCTTAATGAAGTATCCTTGACTCTCCCTCCACCCCCACACTTCCTGTCTTCTTTCTTGCTTATTACCATATGACATGGTATTTTGTCTGTCTCCGTCTCTTGGGCCGTCATGCATGGATATGGAGGCTGTGCTTTGCTCAGTCTCTGCAGCCATATGCAGGGGCCTGCTTTCCCCACCGGATCTAAGCTACGAAAGGTCATGGCTTTTTATCTGTTTTGTTCACTGCTGTATCCCCAGGGCTTAGACCCATACCTGATGTATAGTGAGGGCTAATCAATATTTGTTGAACAAATTAGCTAAATGAATAAAATAGTTCCCAAGATTCCACCCACTTAATTTGGTCAAACTTACTTTTTTCTTACTACAAAAAAATACTGGTCATTATAGAAAACAAAAATAAAGCCATCCGTTATCTTACCACTTTGGTACATATCTTTTCAGACTTTTTCCTCCACAGACTATTTTTTCCCCATTAAAATGGTTTCATACTGTACATACTACTTTTAACCCAATCATTGCACTTGGTATACTGTGAACATCTTTTTATGCCAGTAAATATTTGTCTTAAGCATGATTCACTAAATAAAAACGGTGCTTTGATGTGTGAGCATACCTACATAACATTGATCTTGGAAAAAGTAAATGAGGATATTACTTAGTGTACCCAAAAGCATGTATGAACTGATAATAAACTGAGAGAGATCATTTCATAGCAACACATCCTCTTCCCCCACCCACTTCCCCCCCCCCAAAAAAATCGGACATATTAGGTATAAGGGTTATCTGTTACAAAGAGAAAAGATTGCATGGTGTTGGGAATTGAATACGCTTAATTTAGGAGGCTGGCTTATTAAGACATATCTCTTAGGGCAGCCTAATTCTTAAAACACAATCTATACAGACATGACTTGGCATGTCCCTGACCTGCGTAGGAGGACTGTCTATCTTATAAGCAAAATTTGAGATCTAATTGTACAATTATTACCCAACAAAGACTAGTTAATGTTGAATTTTAGAAGAATAAGCATTAGCAGGACTCTAAGTGTATAGATAACTCTTAGGTTCAGTAAATGAATAGGACTCTTTGTTCTTTGTAAGATTTAATCTTAGATTTTGTGGCTTTATTTTTCAAGTTAGTGGATTAAAAGCATCACTAGCTGCAGTTGGGGCTTTAGTCTCAACAAATTATGAATCTATCAGGACTTCAAAAACTACTAAAACACATGAAAGCAACTGTTCTCATTCTACTTTAAGAATTCCCTTTCCCTTGGGTGACTTCTAGAACTTCTAAGGTCTTCAAGTCATCTAACCTGATCTGTAGCTCCTCCCCCTTCATTTTCTTCAGAGATCTTATTTAGCAAATCATATGCCAATATCAACACTCTAAAAGGGAGTTACAGACTGTCTATAAAAGACAATGTCATTCAAAACTAAACAGATTAATAATCTGTGAAAAGAATCCTGGCAAGTTATGTATTAATTTTATTATGATGTACATATAGCTTTTTATTTACTGAATTCCTTCAGAAAGTTAAAAAGTGATTTTATCTTATTCTGAGGAAATGAAATATACAGAAATTATCTAAAATCATTTTCTAAGGGACAACAAAAAAGTGTTAGTTCTTGGAACTGTTAAAAAATACTCTACGACTTTCAGCTAGGATCTATAACTGTGATACAGTCTGTCACTCTTATAATCAGACCCCAGAATAATCACAACCAAAATTACTTCCAAGTATTCCTACTCCAGGCTTTAGATTGTTACTAAGAAACTTAAGCACAATTTTTGAATGAGCAGGTAAAAGAGGCCCTTATTTCCCATAACTGTCTGCCAAGATATAATGTCTGATGCAATCTTGCTACTTTTTCAGCCAATGAGATTAGCAAAATGAGGTATCTAGAGAAATGATCGAAGCTTGTTTCTTCTACATGGGTTGCTATCGAAATATCTGCCTTTGATTTAAAATTGTTTTTCCATTAGCTGGGAGTATGGCTAGACATATGATTCCTGTCCACATTCAGCCTAATGTAGCGATTTCAGGAAGAGTTTGCAGCTCATATCAAGAACACCAAATTGCATCTCCTTGGGGATGCTTCACGATGCTTTGTACTGATTTCAGTGTGGGTGCTATTGCAAGCCTCTCAACTCAGCACAAATTACCCAACCCAGAGCACATATTCTTGGAAAACACAGTAATGCTACCTGAGTAAATGGTTTTCTTTTTAAAATTATTCTTTATGCTCTTCTATCCCTGTTCTTCGTTTAGACAGTTCTGACTTAGAATCAAAATTGGAGGTTTTCCTTTGGTGGGGTGAGTGTGTGTGTGTGTGTGTGTGTTTAGATGGGTCTTTTCTTTAAAACTTCTTACATGTGCTAACATATTTCCATTATAAACTTTTTCTTCACATTTTAATCATTGGGTTTTTAAATGCCAGTTGTGCACCTCCAAGAACTGAGCTTCAGGGAAATGGTGATATTATTAAATCTTACAAAATCCTGCCAGATGTCTGCTTACTTCCGAGTCTGATCTATGACCTAGTCCCTCTTCTCTCATGAGCATCAAACCTTGGTGGGGGCTGAATTGAAGTCCTCAGAAATTAGTTGAGTTAAATGAATCTTCATTTATTTGACTCAGTGTCCTAAGTACAAAATGGAATGAGGACCCCTACCTTTCTTGCAAAGACCATTGCCTTTGATTTCTTAGGCAATTATCTCTTACTTTTTTAACCCCAAGTACCAACTGCATAATATTAAGGACTCTGAATCATATATGACCTTTTTCCTTTGTTAATTTTCATTTTTTTCTCACCTTTCTCATTCGAGCGACCTATAAATGAAGCCTAAGTTACCTTCTTGGTAAAATAGAAAACTTTGGCCTTAGAAATGATTGTGCTACTTGATTTCCATGATTCTTTAGCAGGTTTCTTCATCGTTCTTTGGTATCTGAGAATTTGATAGTGCTACCTGCCAGT